CCCCGAGCCGGGCGCGGTGCCACGGTGAGGTACGACCCTCGCCGGGGCCGCCGAAATTCCCCTCTCTGTCTGGATCTGCCAGGGGTAATTCCTGCTTCCCTTCGTGTCTCGTCCCGTCGCTCGGCCGCTGTTGAGGCGAGGGGGGATCGGAGGGAAGAGAGGCGCGTGCCACTCACCGGCAATAAACGGATCCTTCCCATGGGGCCTCTGGGCGGAGTCCCGTTCCTTCCTTGGTAGGAGAGTTTCCTCCTCCTGCTGAGAAGCGCTGCTGGTAGCTCCCCAAGCTGTGGGGAGCTGGTGGGGGTTTTCTGGGGACCTTGAGGGAGGCCATGGTGAGGTGTGTGCCCCCTCTCCCTGGGCTCAGCTGCCAAAATTCTTGGCTTCTTAAGTTAATTCTGGGGATGGGTGTAAGAATGTGGGAAAGGAGAACAAGACTGGGAACCTGTTTCCATCAAGCAATCCAGAGAATTGTTCTGGTTGGAAGAGACCTCTAAGATCATGGAGTCCAACTGTTAACGCAGCACTGCCAGGTCCCCACTGACCCATGTCCCTCAGCACCACATCTCCACAGCTTGGAAACCCCTCCAGGGATGGGGACTCCACCACTGCCCTGGGCAGCCTGACACAGCCCTCAAGGGGAAGAGGTTGTTCCTCAGCTCCAACCTGAACTTCCCCTGGCAAAACCCGAGTTTGTTTCCTCTTGTCCTGTCCAAGAGCAGCGTGGGCTGCACCCCAGAATTTACCAGCCTATAAAGGGCCATTTTTTTCCTGCCTACTGGCTGTCGGTGTCTTCTCACCTCCACCCTCCCCTCAGTCCTCTCCTTTTTTGCTTTTGTCCACCTCAGTCAAACCCCGTGTGTCTCATTCCATCTCCAGTCCAGATTTATATTTTGCATGGCAGGGTTTCTGTATCTCTTTCTCACTCTCCTCTCTTTTTACATATACTGACGAAATCCTTCCTCTTGCCCTTCTCCGTCCTCTTGGGAAACTCCCGGCCTGAGGAAGGCTGCCGCCTTCACCCTCCTCTCTCTAATACACCCAGAACAACCCCCGTGATGTTGCGCTGCCTGGTTTAATTCCTTAATCTTAGCCTGCTGACAGCTTCATCGCCTCGGGTCTTTCCACTTCGATTCAGATTATAATCCCCGTTGAAGAGGCTGCAGCAGTGATACGTCGCTGCCCTTGGAGCTGCGACCCTTCCGACTCGGCGAGCCCCGCACTCGGGGGCACGCAGGAGCTGGAGCACAACTTTCCTCCCAGCCACCCACCCGGCTCGGGCCATGGCTGGGTGCAGAGGGGAGACCCTTGTGTCTTTGTGCCCTCCACGGTGCGGAAGGAACGCTGCCGTGCTTCCCTGGACCGGGGAAAAGTTGAGGGTGCTTTTGAGAAGATTTGGCAGTGGCCATTTTAGCGCAGGCGCCCGGACCCTCGCCGCAGCCTCAGCTTGGTTTGTGCTTCTGGTTGGAAGAGACCTTTAAGATCACGGAGTCCAAACCGTCACCCCAGCACTGCCAGGTCCCCACTGACCCGTGTCCTCCAGCACCACATCTCCACGGCTTGGAAACCCCTCCTGGGCGAGGGGCAGAGCCTGCCCTGCACCTTCCCCCTTTCCCAGGTTGTGACCTTGGAGCTGGCAGCTGCTGCCTCAGTTTCCCCTGTTTCTGGGCAAGATATGAAATGAGAAGCCCCAAAAATCTCTCCCTGGGGTGATGCCTGAAGCCTGGGGG